TTTTCTTGTGCTTTTTTTCCAATAGAGGTATTTCTATAAACTTCGAGATGTCTACAAACAAAAAACGTAAAATTGAAGAGGAAAATAGAGGATTTAGAAGTGAGTGGACTGATACTTATGCATTTGTCTCGAACAACATGGGACAACCAAAATGTCTTATTTGTGACGAAAACTTCAAAAACAATAAAAAATCTAATATTGAACGTCATTTTTTATCAAAACACGATTCTTTTGGTAAGACGTACCCAGCTGGAAATGAAAGAAAAACAGCAGTGGCCGAGTTGATTCGTAAATCTCAACAATCGTCATCTAAATTTAATAACTGGTTGCAGTCGGCGTCTAATTTGACTGCAGCTAGTTTTGTTGTATCTCACGAAATCATGAAATCTGGAAAACCGTTCACTGATGGAGAATATATTAAAAAATGTGAAAAAAGTTGTTCTATATTTTCTAAATTTAAGACGTATTATGTATTATGTTTTTATTTTATTGCCTACTAAAAAAAAGTTGTTCAAACCTGTGCGGCTCCCTGGATATCATAGTTTTGTATTTTTTTAAAAGAATGGCTCTTTCCTACGAAAAGGTTCCCGACCCCTGTTCTAGTATCACCCTTTTATCATCATAGCTGTTAAAAGTCAACTTATTTGACTTTATGGTCCTTAGATGGTGGTTGAATGATCGGATTGAAACGTTCTCTCGGTACGCCTCCACTCCAGCTTCGTCAAACAAACATTTTTTATGATCTTCTAGGGTCATGTGAGATATGACTATGCTAGATACTTTTTTAACTTTTAAACCATTTGCCATCGCCTGTTTCAAATTACGATAGTGCATGATATAATGTTCTCTAGATTCGAGTGTTGCAGTAAGTTTTGGTATTTTAGACCCGAGGGGTATACTTTTATTAGGCAAGAATGGTAGATCATTATGATCGTCATGTAAGTGCTGCGGATACTCGATATTGACTTCATACATTCGTCCTATCTCCGATGTTTCATCTAAGCATTCCAATCCATTGAGAGTAGGCTCGACTCATTTGAAGCCACCATACGGCATGTACTCGGACATGGCCCATCCATACAAATTGTTACCTATAATAATGATAATAATAATAATAATAATAATAATAAAATTTTTGGAAAGATATATTAAGAGATAGTAAGCTAGACTCACAGTCTTGACAAATTAGCCACGAATCTGGCTTACTCGAGTCATAGTTGGATGTTTTATAATTATTGGCTTTGCCATAACGTAGGCTGGCCCGTGTAAGTCCTCCTCTTATACCTTTTTCACACATCAACAGCATATCGTAATCGTGTAAAAGTTCTAGCTTTATCGAGGTTTATTTCAGGTATGCATCGAAGCTTAATCCAGGTGCGGTGTAATAAAAGGCAGCATCTAGGTTATATGTTTTCAGACATCTGTCACGGAAATTTTCAAATACATCGGCTAGCAGAAGAACATCGATTTTGAGGTATAGATCACTATACTCTCCAAGCGTTCGACAGTTAAAATGGTTCCAAACTTAAACCTCTGTCGCATGTTCGTATTCTCTTTCTGTAATGTGTTCTTCTGTTAGTGTGCTAAAAGTCTTCTTTTGGCGGTAAAGTTGTCTCTTCGAGCTTAGACTAATCATCAGTAAACTCATATGGATATACTCCTTTACGGGTGACAAGTGGCAAGTCTTCATTAAAAAAATGTTTTGAAATTTCTCTGAATTTTTCTAAGTCCGGTGTTATCAAATTTTTGGCTAATGTTTTGAAGCCATGAACTAACATGTATCAATAAATCTTAAAGTAAATTTACTTGAGATATATTTTGAAGAGGAAATGAATTTCTCTTCGCTATTAGGTATCACCGTTATACTTTTCTCATCGTATCCCAACTCGGAAGCAATGAAGTGAACATCGTAGTTACTCAGATTGTGCAAGAAACAAGGTACAAAATTCGGCATCTTCAAAGATAAATTGCACATATTACAAATCATCTGGCGGAATTGACCCGACAGATGGCAGTGATCTCTTACTTTATCGTTTAAAAACGTAAAATCTTTTTTACATAAATTACAAGTTGTAGTCTTATCATGCTTTTCCTGCTCTTCATTACTTATAATTATTTCTATGTTTTCTTCAAAAGATTCTCTATTTTTCTAGATATTTCTACAACAGTCTCTATAAAATTTTTAGCAACTTCAGCTCGAGTCTCAGACCCTCGGTGAATAATTACAGATGATGGTATATCAAATTTATCTAGTAACTCAATCGGTATATCGTCTGCTGCCTTTACGTATATCCCACAACTCATAGGCTCGTGTTTTTGAAAAGCAGTTGTACTATCGCCTTTTCTCTCATCACATTTTACTAGTAGGGCCTCAAAATCAGCATAAATAATGATCGGATGTCTCTGCGTCTTACTCCAGCCCTCAAACTCTAAGCCTTAGAGTCTAAGGTATCCCCCTCTGACGGCATAACAGGGAGTATAGGTTTGTGAGCTCCACATATCTTCTTATGCTGGTTTAATGCCTCTTGTCCGCTCAATTTAAATTTATGATGCCTGTCATCAAATGTCTTAAAACATCTTTTACAAAATATAACACGTCCGTTGTGTCTAGTTTTCTGAGAGCTTATAAGGCGTGAAAAATCAGATATGTAAATATAATGTGATTTATCCTTTTCGGTAACTAAAAGTAGATCAAAGTGGTCTCGCTTCTCATTTTCAACAACTTTGAGCGGAAATATCTTATATGATGGAAGTTTAGGCGGTGGCATATATTGTTTATGGATGCCGAATACATTTATAGAGATACGTTAATTTAACGTTTTGATTGTTTTTTTTCAAATTTTTTTATGTCTGACAGCGGAGTTGGGAATGAGATACCATCAAAGCTATATTTGCCCTCATGCCTGGTATATCTATTGTTGACGCTGTATTTATTTCCTCCCATGACATGTTTAGCTAATAAAACCCACTTGCAACAATGCTGATCTGAGTTTTGAGGGTTAATAGTAGCCCGTTTATAATCAACGCATGGTGGGAGTTGAATAAAAGAAGAGCCGGACAATGGAGAATATTTATAAATCCCCAATAAAATTCCGTCAATGTTTTGGAAAGAAAATCCAGAGCCCTACCAGTATATTCCTCCTCCTCATATTTCAATTTATTAAAACAATCTTCTAAAATTGACAATAAATCGCTATCTGCGAAAATCTCCCTGGCTGAGGATTTAAAAGCTCTATTCTCGGAAGAATTTTCTACGTTAGGTCTATTATATGTAGCCTCTATTTTCAAATTAAATTTAATCGGCAAACAATGTTTATTAATGGTCTCTACTAAAGCGGATTTGATGGTCTTGAAGAAATTCGAATAATTCTGTACATTATTAATATTTTTATAATAATACCACACAACCTTACGGTTGCGTGCTGATTGAATTTCCATGAATCCTAAATCTGATACTGCTTGAAGTCTAACTTTTTTTTAATTTCACTGCAGTTTCAGTATTTTCTGTATGTATTCGTTTATTACCTAGTCGCGTATAATAACCTAAAATTAAAAATATATTTTTAAATGTATACCTAGATCAATATACATCATTGTATAGTTCAGAAAACCTATAGGTCTAACTCGTGACAAATGTAAAAATTTAAGAGTAACTAACCTTGGGTAGTATCCATATTTTTTTCGAATTCATCCATCGCAGCCATACAGATATCATCCCCATCAAGTCCTTTATCAAACACTTGTTCAGTTGAAGACACAGCTTTTTGGTTAGAAACTCCAGCTGGTATGTCTGGGACATATATTCCGGGAGCTAGTTCTATTTCATCAGGTATCTGAACGCGAACCTTGCCTATATAATTAATAAAAAGTAAATTAAATATTGAGTTAAATTTAACAAAAATAAAAATAAAAAAATCTTACTTGTCGTTTTGCATAGTCCGGCATTTTCAGCATTCTTCAAATCTTGCACGCACATTTCGTCGTCGTACTCGTCGTTAAAATCCTCGTTTGGCTCATTAGTATCTTTAGCTGGAGCTATTTATATTTCACCTCGAGGCGTTAGAACACGACCAACAGCTTGTAAAATAAAATAAAATAAAATAAACATACCGTGAATGTTTTTCATGTGTTTGTTCAAGCCGGTTTTGAAAGTGAACGTTAACGCACAAACAGTACACGGAAAACGAACTCCAACATGCTTTTTTTTGTGTACTGTCAAATTATCTTTACGTGTGAAAACTGAAAACCGATGGTCACTGATCGCATTTAAACATTTTTAAATTATGTAAAACACACATTTTTGAAAAAAAATAAAAATAAATAAATAAACAGCGAAATAAAAACTTGGAAAAAAATTATTTTAAAGACGAAGCGAGCGAAAAAATACTTGTACACCAGTTTAAGGCAGTAGACGGACTAAACGGCTACCGACTCCTTGGGTCAAGAGTGTCTATAATAGGTGGGAACATTTTTCAATATTAATGAATTTTGCAGTATATTTAATTGAATAAGGATACCAAATCCTAATTGTGGCCATTAAGAGACGGCGACATCCTGGCGACCGCACCTAACTATCTATATCCCCGCGCAAGCACATTTAAATGCCTACCTACCTAAATGTAAGCCACGAGTTCTTAGTATACTAAGCAGTAGCATCAAAAAGTGGTTGATATGTATATAAATGTCTGACATTTAGTCAGTATTAGATATATAGACTCCATAGCTTAGTGGTTAGAGCGCTGGTCTTGTAAACCAGGGTCGGGAGTTCGATTCTCTCTGGAGGCATAACATTTTACCATGTAAGTATAGTACAATTGAATAGGGATATACATTAAGAGTCCGCGACATCCTGGCGACCGGTAGGGTACATTAAGAAGACATTTATTTGTGATTATTACTGCCATTTGGCAGAAAATGTCTTTCAATCAATAATGACCAGGTGGTGTGTGAATATTTAATTGAATAAGGATACCTAATGTCGAAAGTGTCTTTCAATATAAATATCCATTGTGGCCATTATGAGTCGGCGCCACGAGCGAGCACGACATTTTATATACAAAAGTTATTAATGTGTGTTATTCACTAATAGCCATTTTAATATCATTAGTGTGCGACATCCTGGTGAACAGTAAAGCAGATCGTATCAAGGTTGGGTTATATTTTTGTATATTTAAGAGGTTACCTTATATACGTTGTTAAAATAATAAAGAGTGCGTTATGCATGTTGTCATATGCGCGCGCGAAAAATTATAACAATTTATTTGATAACCGGGGGAGAACTGCGATGTGATAACGGCGGCAAAAGATAACATTTGTGATAACTGATAATGTTTGTAGCGCACGTACGCCAGTGGCAAAAATATATGATAACAAAATGATAACTGATTACAATAATATTGTGGTATAAATGTCGTGGCCCGAAACGTGGTTCGGGGCGCCGTCTATACTACTTGTACCAAAACCAGAAGGTTTACCTAGAGGATTAAGAAAAATAACAACTCTTGAGGTAAATAACGTTCGTATATATTTTCGACTAAGAAAAACAGNTAACAACTCTTGAGGTAAATAACGTTCGTATATATTTTCGACTAAGAAAAACAGATTAAGTGCAAAATACTGTTGCGCGCAAAATAGGGACAAGTCGTCGGACGTCGGGCTGCTCGAGTCGAGAGCGAAAAAGCGAGTGTCGAGAGTGGCGCGCGTTGGCGGCTTCGGGCGCGTAACGGCGAAGTCGCCGCGCGAGGCGGGAGAAAAAAGTCGAGCGGCGAGTAGTCCAAAGACGGTACAACATAATTTATAAAATTCACAGAGATAATAAATAAAACGAATACAATATAAAACACATGACGAATACAATATAAAAATGGTAATAAAAAGGCGTGTTAGTGTAAGTGATGATAACACGTCGGAATCACCCACAGATATACAAAAATACTAGATAGACGACTTGGAAATGTTTTTGAAGCCAACAAAATGGCCGAAATTCTCTTATCTAAGAGGTGAATGTTTACATTCTCATAACACTGATAAAGATATTATTGTTATCAATTTATCATATTAATTAATATTATAAAATATAAGTTTAAACTTCAAAATTGTATAGGTAGTTTATGATTTTAATAACTTTACTTACTTACATAAGTCTTAAATACATATAATTAACTTTTAGCCTATTGAACAATTATGTAAATGATGTAATGAGTGCATGTGAATATTCCATTATTTTATAAAAAACAATCTGCATTAATAAATTAAAATATTTACATCAATTTATAATTTTTGAAATACTATATTTAAAATCAATAAAATCAAAAAACAAAACTGGTATACTACCTTATTTAATAATAATACAAATTAAAAAAAAAAAAAAAAACATAACTGGTATCCTGTATACTAGTAGGAACATACTATCTAATATAATAATCATAAAATATTTAAAATCA